CAGAATTGGGTATGCTTCTACAGGCATGAAAGCTTTTCTTCCTCGTGCTTGGCATTTTTTTTTTCAAACCTTTATTGAATTACTGGAATGCAAAACAAACAAACATATATGAAAAAACGGTTCATGGAATACATTTTACATGCTATTCTAAAAATGGACTAGATTTGGCTTTTATAAATGCCCACTTATTTAGAAATTTCTAACACTATCATATCTGGATAGTGTTCAGCTTTCCAATATGACAGACTAATAACCAACTGAAAATTCAAAGTGGTAATGAAAATTCTAGCATACCACTTTGAAATATAGTAGCAAGCCATTTCAACATGAATTTTACTGTTTAAACCCACTAAACTCAAAGCAAAACAAGACGGTCTTGTCATCTTTTATTTATTTATTATCTTGGGAAAATATTTAATAGTTTCAGTTTTTTCTGATCCTAGAACCAAAACTAAAGTTACGGGATCTTTAGGTCTTGTTTTGTTTTGATTTTTCACAATGAAATGTAAGATTTATGACTTAAAAGTGTTCTAAGACTTAGGTAACAGATCTGATTTACTTCTTAACAGGAAGTTAAAAAGCCTTTCAACGTTTTATAGACTTTGTGCGAATCCCATTTGAACCTTGTCACTGACCCTCTGTTGAAGGAATGAACACAGGGAAAACAGACATTGGCCAGCAGACCAATGTATTCATTTTTCTGGATGTACTGTGGCGATTATTACTCTTCTCCTTTATTATCTTAAGTTGTTAGCAATAGTTCTTGAGCTAAAAGTTATTGCATAATTTAAGAAGAAAGAAGAGAGCTCTAGCATAATTTGTCCTCACAGAATATATAATGACTATGGGCTTTACAGTCAGATAGCCCTGGGTTTGAGTTGATATATCTATTTACTGTTTGTCCTTAGGAAGTTATTGTACAACCTCTCCGAGCCTCAGTTTCTGTATCTGTAGAATGAGCATGATGTCAACCTCCTAGAATTATTGAGAGGATTAAACATAGTTATGTAAAAATGCCTAGAAATGTGCCTAGCACATAGTTAAATATTCAAATTTTAGTTTTCTTTTCTTTTAATTCTTATTTTAATTATTTTAAAAGATAATTTGTGAGAAAAATGGTGCCCTAAGGGAATTATTATAGGAAAATGATTACCAATATGATATTGCAGCACACTGAAATAGTTAACCTGGCTACCTTTGAAACTACACTTTTAACTTCAGAATTTACTGTAATCAGAATGATAATGTGATAGTGCATTTATTCAGACAGTGTTTGCTGAGATCACTTAGATCTTTGTGATTTGCTATGATCTTTCGAGCAGACCTGTGAGGGTGTCAGTACATGGTCAGAGAGACTGACTTGCCTAAGATCACATGACTGGGAAGCAGGCAGAGCCAGAACATGAACTCTTGCTGTAAGTCTGTTTCTACTTAGAGCAAGAGCTTTCCACTGGAGCTTCAAGATAATACTGGCTTTGAGGCAGCAAGCCTCAGTGGAAACAAGCGTCAATATAAAAAGAGACTTTAGGCGTATTTCAGTAAATAAATACTCTTGGATGGGGTTCAAGTTGGATCTTATCTATACCAAAGTTACTCTGTAGGGGCTGGTGTTATGAGATACCAAGATGGCAGCATCACTATCTCAGACATACTTTGTGTTGCACGTATCCACACACACACACACACACACACACACATGCCTTCGAAGCACTCTATTAAACATTTAAATAAAGGGAAAAATCTTTCCCTAACATACTTCTAAGCCAATTTAGAGGTCATTGAACAGATGTCATATAATACTAATGTTAAATTACCCTGTGTAATAAGAAAATTACAGTTCCTAAGTGAAGATAGTGAAGGGAAACCATCCAGTGAATTATTCTAGAATTTCAAAATGAAATTATTTCTTCAAAATTAACAGTGGCACCATATAACTTTAGAAAAGTGAGTCTGAGAGGGAGAAGGGAAATCAGAGACAAAAGAGAAGCCTTTCTGTGTTTATATATGTTAGTTTTGGGTTATGACGCTAGAAGAGCTAACGTAATAGTATAGCTTTCAGTTGTCCAGGAAGTATATTATTAAACTATGTGGCAAGAAATTTATTAAAATCTGACTAACTGCTCATTGGGTTGTTTAATATAAAATCACAATAGTTGTTTCTAGTCTACATATATTTCCTTTTGCTATTAGGTACACTTTAAAAGCCTAATTATTTTGAGAACATGATATAACCAGAGAATAAAAATGTACAAAGTTCAACAACTTTCAATAAGCACTAGCATTTCTTAAAGAAAAAAAAAGCCTCACTTAGAGGTAGGAAACAATATTTATATTTAAGGTTGAAAAGCCAGGATATAGGAAAATTTTGCTAATTTGGAAGATGAACTTTAAGTGCACCAAAACCAAATAATTTGTAGGCTGTGACATAGGGCACATTCCTACAAAATTTGTGTGAATACTGCTTTAGTGGTTCTTGAAAGACAAACAAAGAAAGCTGGACTGAAATCTTTATCCCCCTCCCAGATAAGACGGAGTCTGACAAAAGAGCACAGCACTCTTTCAAAGCTTGCCATGAAAACGGGGTCTCTGTAGCACAGTTAATGAGATGGTTCGTGGTGGAAAAACAGTCTGTTTTTAAGACTGTTTAGATCAAAAGTAATTTCTAATCTATGAAATAAAGTCTCCTCAATACCCTTCATTCACCAGGAAAGCTTTTATGTTTGTCGTATTTACTTCAATCAGATGTTTTCAATTTTACCTTTTCTCTCTGTACAAATACTTAACGTGGTTCGTCAATACTTACCAACAATTTTATTCTCTTTCTTCAGAAAAGAGAGATTTTTGAGAGAGGGAGAATGAAAAAGAGAGAAACATCTTTGCCTAAACGATTTGCAAGCATCTGTGCTTTAAGCTACTTTTTATGAACACTCCTTAGTAAATGACTCAAGGTAAAAAAGCAGAAAAGCATCCAATGTTAGGAAATTGCAACCCAATACCGTGTAATTTAAACCTGCAGTTGCTTCTCTTGTGCTAAATGACATACAGATGGGTAGCTTAGTTCTCTCAATTTTGGGAACACAATTGGTCTTTTTGTATGAATGAACATACATCAACAAAAATATTTTGCACAGAATCGTTTAATACTAATTGTACAGATTTTAATTATCCATGCCAGGGGAAAGAATACTTTTAACTCGGAGATTTTGTCACGTTAAATTGGCAATTAATGAACCTTTTTGGGCAAAATCAACAGATACAACCCTTCCAACTAATAGAGAAATAAAAACAAAAAGATAGCTTTTAAGAAGTCTACAGTGGAGGGAGCAGGAACTCGGTTATGACAGTCAACTGAGAGGTAACAAAGAGCAGTTCTGCGTTCAGGCTCTGAAGAGCCTTGCTCTGACAGGACAAACATTTCTCATCTGCCCCTCGGAAAAGATTAAAAGTGTAAGTAGTAGGTGTTTGGATAAAGCCTAGTGTAATATGGGTTCCACTGAGATGAGAGACCCACACATCATCAGCGATATGCCAGTCTGCTCTGTGGAAGGTCAGGAGAGGCGCTGTTTGACAACCCACAGGCCTGCACCAAGGTGCGACTTTTCTGTTTGGCTCTGGTTAGCTATCTTCCTGCCTCTGTATTTTCTCATCGAGAATCAGCTGCTCTATCTTGGTGGCCCTGATCCTGGAAGCTGATATGCTTCTTCAATCCCACAATCGGGAACCGGTTAGTCATTTTTTTTCCTGGTTTCATTTCAGTGACCTCACATACTGTGACATCAGGTGACTTAACAGTAAAAGACGTAGGGAGCATTTCTATTTTAATCACAGTTCTTTTCATTTCAGAGGAAGTTGAGTTTAGTATTCAGGGGATGAAGCAACCTTTCTTTTAGTAATTTCAAAACATGGTAAGAGATTTTTGCACCTAGGGCCAACTGCAGGCCCCTTTCCCACTGTGATGAGTGGCAAAAAAAAAAAAAAAGGCAATTTTATTGCAGTGAGTAAGGGTTGCCCTGTCTCAGAGTTATATTTCTTTTCAATCATTTGTGTAGGTAAAATAAAATAGCACGTATCAACAGGTGTTGTCTGAACATTTTACTGCAGTCTATAGGTTGAAATAAAAGCTGCCATTGTTATTACAATCACATTAAAATTATTTCACCATTTGAATACACTTAATCAGTGAAGTCTTCCTAGATATACTTTGCAAAAAGAAGACTGTAGGTCTCTAAGTAAAATCACATTCCCTTTACTTCTTCTCTTTGTCTCCCCCCCACTCCCTATTTTTCTCACCTTTTCTTTGGAACTTACTGAATCGACATTAGTGTAAAGCCTTCTTCTGGAGTCTATTAAAGCCTTTCTTGCTGCCTGTTTAACATTGTAAGATACAGTCTTTAAAGACTTTTGTTTTTAAGGATTCTACAGAACCTAGTGAAGTGGCTGACAGAATCACAGAGAAGGACAAATTCCTAGTTATGGAAAAATGCATCTTTAGGGTTTAAAAAAATTGGCTGCCATTTAAATGGCCCAGAATAGAAACGGAATGGTGGTTTCAAGCTATTCTGCTAAGTTGCAAAATTATGGGGAATGGGGAATTATTATTTAGCATAATATGCCCATCATCTTATATACATACAGTGTAAATGTTTATAAACAGGGTTATGCTTTTTGAGTTTCTTTGAAGAAAAGGATTTCCTGGTGTTAGGAGACATAGAGGATGTGCTACCATCTTTGGGAATGTTCAGTGAGCTGTTCCCATCCCATGTTGGCATCTTTGGCTGTGGCACCTTGTCAGTGCTCCAGTGGGAGCTCCTGAATCTTGAGAAAGATTCTCTTCAAACTGAGAGAACTAGTCAGCTGCAGTTCAGATAACTTTGGTGCATCAAGGACCGGTCTAGTGGTTGACAAGTGACTGCAGAAGCTGGGCGGTGGCGGCCAGCCAAAGCAAGTATTTAGGATTCAAACTAAAAAGACTCCTTCTCCCATACCCTCTCTCTTTCCAGGGTCATGTAGGGATAAAAAGAACTGTAAGGTGGTCTTTTCCCAGCAGGAACTAAGGAAGCGGCTAACACCCCTGCAGTACCATGTCACTCAGGAGAAAGGGACGGAAAGGTAAGAGAGGCTGTAAGAAAAAGTCGTTAAGAACTAGTTTTCTTTGCCTTCCCACCCCCCCATCCCCCACGGCTCTGAATCCTTCCCTTGCCATTTAATTTAAAGAATTCTACACTTATTTGCTAAAATCTACAAATTAGTATCCTTGAAAAGGTTGAAAATGGTATTGTTTAGGTTAAGACTAAGTTTTATTTATTCTTTCCCCCATTTAATGAACACTATCTTATGTAAAGTCACAAGGCTTTTATTAAGGGCCTGTTTTTAGTTTACTACAAAATGTGTGGAAGTAATAGCGATTTAGGTACATTTTTGGGGAAGACATCACAGTAAGCAAAACCATGAGGGACATGGCACTGTGCCAGGATGCTGAAATTTTGAAGGTGGCCATTGTAAGTATAGACGTTTTGGCTGCAAAAAGAAGGTAGCATAATTTAGTTCCTTTCTACCCGACTCCAATTTCTTTTTGAAGCACATGTGGAGAAAGTATTTATTGGCTCATTTGTGGTTGGAATGTCAAAAATTTTCAATAACTGCCCTCACATGGCTTTGGTCCTTGGAAGTTCGCCCTAAGTCCTGAAAAAAGAGTTTGTTCACTTCCAAGACGTTTTTAGTGAATAAAGTCTCTCTCAGCTGATTCCAGCTCAAAGGTAACCTGCCAAAGTCCAACCATTTTGTTGTTTAATTTATACCATGGAGGCTGGCATAAGGCTGTAACTTACCTCTGATCCAAATTTATTAATGATGTAACTTCTTGTTTTCATTCATGAACTGAAAGAGTTCTTTACCACACATGGGGGCCTTGTTAATAGGCAACACTCTCTTCCTGTCACAGTATATACTGTTTGCTGAATTTACCAAATGGTGAATCTCTGACAACGTCTACTCTCACCACACAGTGAGCCAGTGATGGGCTTCAGCTTCAGGCCAGGAGGACCTCTACCCGTCCGTTGTGTACATGACTAGCAAAATGATTTAATGCACACAAACAACTAGAGATTAGGTCATTCTTAAAAATTCTGTTTATAAAAAAATTGGACCTCATAAAGAGGGTGAAAGGATAATAAAAACAAGCTGCAGAGTACATAGACTTTTTGTTGGGCTAGCACAGCTGATTTGTATTAGCTGAATGACCTCCTAGCCTTTAAGATTGTTAACTTAGAAAAATATTCCCTTAAAGCTGCAATATTCCTTTTCAAACCCCAAAATAAGACTCCTTCCGCTTGAAGTCTTGGACCCTTCTGCATTTTTGGGTATACACTCTTGGACACTGTATAGTAGGCAAAAATCTTATGTAGTAATGGTTTGTTTTTTTTTTCCCCCTGCAAATATGAATTACAAGGATTTGGGTTTTTTTTTTTGAATAGCAAAAATTTTTTTCTAAGCATTACATAACTAGATGGCTTGATCTTTTATTTTTTTTTTAACTTGCCCGAGTTTGGAGTAGTTATACGCACATTTTATTATATAGATTTGAACTATATTAGTAATCAGATTTCCAAATGTTTGGTCTGTTCTCCTTTTAGGACAAAAAGCCCTTGAAAGATTTATTAGAAAAATATATTTTCAGCAAATACATTCTATAAGAAATAATACTAACTTTGATTAATTTTTTTTAATGCTCTGTTTATTGTTTATCAGTGCCTTTGAAGGAGAATATACACATCACAAAGACCCTGGAATATATAAATGTGTTGTTTGTGGAACTCCGTTGTTCAAGTAAGTATGTTAAAGACCAAGGGATATGGAAATATCACAGATGGCAACAAACTAGTTATTGCTCATTTACATTAGAATCTTTATACTAGTAAAAAAAAGAATCTTTATGCTACTAAATTTTCTTATTTCTATTATTTCTATTTTCTCTCCACAAAACAAAAGTATTGACTTTCACGATAAATTACCAGTTCGGTAGACTGGCTGACTTTACACTATTTGGATCTTTGAAATACCTGACGTTAACTTGCTCATCATAATTAACCATGGTGCTTAGAAGAGCTATGAGAGAGATTTTGGTGGGCATAGAAATGATAATATATTTATTGATTTTTCTTTTATCAAGTCATGGCCCTAAATTCATTTATTGGGCCATAGTAAAAGTTCTTCATGTGCATCCTTCGGATTGAATAATATCTACCAAGTTGATTATTCATATTTCTGCAAGGAAGTGCAATACCTGTACTGAAAGTTACGTGGGTATTATAACTGATAGTTATACATATGTAAGCAAATTATCTTTATTTTAAAGATCCCAATAGTTTACTATAAAACAAGCAGTATATAGACTTTTTCACCAAAATAGTCAATTCAGACAGTGTAGATTATGGATCTTATTCGGGAAAGGAAAGTCTTTACGAAAATTTATTTATCTAGGTGTAGAAAGATCCTGGAAGCCCTGTACTTCCCATGGGGATGCATATTTAGGGGAATGAAAAGACAGAAGCCTTAATTGAGAGTAAATGTCATTTATTTAAAGCAGAATTACAAATTTCTAAGGGGAAATGAACAAACAAGAATCTGATACATGTAGCATGTAAAACATACTTAATATCTCTCCATAAATGTTTCCCCTTTAAAACACTGGCATTTACAGATTTTCCAGAAATAACAGGAAACTGTAGTTTCCTTGAAATTTTTTAGAAGTTTAAAACCTTTCTTAACTTGCATAAACCTTATTGCACATTAGTGTTGGTTGAGAATCTGTTCTGAATTCTTATGTATTTATTCTTCATGTTAAAAAAAACCCAGCCTTTCAAATTGTCACCCATTTCCTCTCGGAAAACACACGTCCTTATATTTCAACACCTTTAGCTTCTGTCATAATAGTTGATATAACACTTAAGATAGTTGCTGAGGCATGTTAAACTTGTTAATATCCCAAATGGTAAAAATTGGCCACATCCCCTTTGCCTTTTGTTTAAGATTCTCCATCTCTTTCCCCATCATGTGATTCAGAAAAGTAATGGGTCTAAGGAAAACTTATTGTTTTAAATAAGAAACAGAACCACTGTAAATGAAGGATTTAACCCATGTGAGATTTTGAGTCACAAATACTGAAAAGCAAGACCTTTGTTTGAACATAGGTACTGGTGAGATTCGGGGAGTTTCATATTTGAGGTGATATTATGTCAATTTCCTGTAGCACTCTTATAGGGAAAGCTTTTATTTTCTAAGTTTCTAAGGAATATGATTTAATATTTTTATTCTGTTTCCCCCCATTTTTAAATTGTATGCTTTTCCTTCCTTGGTTTCTTGTCAATTTTAGTGGGGGAAATGCTTTAACCTTTATTGTAGATTGCATTCGTTCATTGGTCCGGTGCTGCTGTCTTCAGACTGGAGAAACTGTACCTTGGGTGTCCACCAAGACTTTCCAGGGGCCACAGGGCATGGACAGCTTTGAGGGAATCAGTTTTCTGGTCCTCAGCTTTTATATGTATGCTTCCCTGACACTAATGTGTCTGAGAGTCTGTGGTCGCTCCCCTCTTTCTTCCTATCTCCTCTATCATTATCCTGTTTACAGAAGATGTCATACCTTTTCACTCATCCCAAATCTTACTGTGATTTATTGTCCTGGGATAAAATCTCTAAGGCATCAAGCAAAATGACAGTTCAAGAATGCATTACTTCTGAAGGGGAAACCCAGGAAAGCAAGGCCAAAAAAAATATTGAAAAATATTGAACCGGTAAAAAAATATTGAAATAGTATTTCGTCTTGGTAAGACTCAGGCGGCCTGCCTGCTATCTGCTTATCCATCTTTCCCTCTGTTGTCTCTTGTCTGCCTATCCATTTTCTACTGGTCTCTCCTCAAGCGAGACTGTTGTCATGAGGATATGTATCTACATATTTATTTAAATTTTAAAAATGAAAGTCTTTTTCTTTTTGACAGTTTCATTTGGTTGATAGATATGACAGAGAGGACTACTTTTCCCAAATGAGGTTCTAGGGTGGACTTCTCCATTCATTAAACGACCTAAATGTATAGCTCCAAGGTTTTGACAAAAATATATTTTAAGCATGTACTCTATTTATAGAACACCAGAAAATTCAATTTTTTTTCAATTATTTAAATTTTGATAGAAAATTTTAGCGGTTACTTTAAAATATATAAGGGAGTATGTATCAGTCAGCACACAATCTGGATACAGAAACCACACAGTAATTTGAACAGGAAAGTATAATTTAAAGAATTACGACCCTTAACAGACGATTGTGGTAATGAGGGATTGGCTAGAAGGGAGTAAATAGAAATTCTGAAGAATACAGAAATAGCAAATATAAGAAGCAATCATGACCCCTAGGGCTGAGGTAGAGCCCAGGACGAAGCGCCCCCTTAGGGCCCCTCCCCTCACCATCCTCTCCCCGGGGCTGAGGTCTGGGTCTTGCTGGAGAGGGCGGGGCTGTACCTCACTAAACAGAGAAGTCACTGCGGTGACCCATGCCTGGGCCACTTTCTGGAAATGCACCTTCTGGAATTTGCTGGAAATCTCCCCTCTGCGGTGCTGGGGAAAGCTGTTTAGAGGGAGGCATTCCACTACAAAAGTACCGGAGTGGACGAGGGGCTGGGGTGGCGGGCTGGGGTGGCCGGGGGAGCCGCTTCCTGCCAGGTGCTGCTGATTCCTGGCACCGCAGGCAGCAGCTGGCCCCGGAGAGGCCGCTTGTGCTGGAGGAGCCTGTCACCGGGGAGGCGGTGTGCACTGCGGAGGCCGGGGCTGGAGACGCCGTTCATACTGCGGCAGCCTGGCACGGGAGAAGCGGCCCACGGAGCAAGGGCCGAGGGGCAGAGCGGCTCGGGGCGCCGCAGAAGCCAGCTGCTGGAGAAGCTCCGAGCTCTGCAGGAGCCTGTTGAGTCAGCATACTGAAACCAGGAAGGGGACCCCTTTTTCTTCCCCAGTTTTCCTCCTGTGCCCTCTGCTGACAAAGTTTAATACCGTGTTAGCTGATGAAGAAAAAAAAAATATTTAAAGGTCCCAGCTCCATTTTAGCAAAGCAGACAGGGCTAGAGGAGAGGGGAGGCAATAAATTGACAAAAAGCCCAGAATGTATGTATGTGTGTGTGTGTGTGTGTGTGTGTATTTTATATATTTTTTATTATATTATTATATATTTATTATATATATATTCCCCCCAAAATTCTTTTAGGTTTTATGAGCAAAAGTTTGAAAGCCACTCACTAGTTGAGTGAATGGCATCACTGTGAGCTACCTTCTTGAGATAGTTGGTTTCACACTTTGAACACAAAGTGCAGGGAACAGTTGAGGTGTGTGTGTGAGTGTGAGTGAGAAAGTGTGAGGGGTTTTTGTTCGAAAGCAGGGAATAAGGGAAGAAAATTAGGCAGAAAAGACAAAATAGAGTAACAATATGAGAAATAATAGTGGGAGGGAAACAGATAAGAAATAAGATGAAGTAAGAAAGAAGTGCTGAATTTGAAAATGCCTAATCATTAGCAGTATGAAAATGTGGTTTCCCAACTGCTATGTCTGTTACCAATACTCATTGTGTTGTGTGTGTGTGTGTGCGTGCATTCACCTCTGTGTATAATCCTCTTCTTTCACTTGACTGATATCTATATACATAATATTTCCTTTAAAAAAGGCCATTCAATTATTCTCATTTCATTTTCAAACTTGTAGTCTACCCTGAATACATTCCCTTTCAACAATATACTGCTTTCTTACTGCTTACCAAGTACAAGAACCTTATTCACAGACTGCTTATAAACCAAATGTGTAATTTATTCCATGGTTCACATTTTCTTCACATTCACAAATTCTACCAACCTAGTTTATTTCTCATATGGTACTACTGAGTTTCAGTTAGTAAATTAACTGACAGAGGTAAGAATGTTCTCTCCTCTGGTTATTTGAACTTATAAAATTTCATAAAATGAATTTATTGCACATCAGGTAAACGAGAGAAGGCTCTGGCGAAATAATGTAATTCAGAATGTACTTTTGACCACTTATATTTTGCTTTGGCTAACACTTTGCCAGGTGTTGTTGAACAAATAAAATAAATTTATGAACTATTTTCCCTTAAAGTACTTATAGTTTTGTTGCAGTGATAAGAACAGAATAAACACTTATAAAATATGGAAGAATAATGCTAGTGTCTATCTGGGTGTACCTGTTAGAAATGCTTTCACGTGGTGGGGCACCTGGGTGGCTTGGTTGGCTAAGTGTCCAAATCTGGATTTTGGCTCAGGTCGTGATCTCAGGGTGGTGAGATCCGTGCTGAGCATGGAGCCTGCTTAAGATTCTCTCTCCCTCTCCCTCGGCCCCTCCCCTCTGCCCTTGTGCACTCTCTCTCTCTCTAAAAAACAAACAAACAAAAACCAAAAAAATAATCGCTAAATATTTGTTTGTTGATTAGATTCATGTCTGAACTTTGTGGGATAGATCATGGAGAAATTTTGAGTAAGTCAGTAGCATGATGAAAATGGGAAGTAAGCCATAACAGTGCACAAGATAGATTTCTTTTTTTTTTTTTAAGATTTTATTTATTTATTTGTCAGAAAGAGAGAGAGAGAGAGAGTATACAAGCAGGGGGAGTGGGAGAGGGAGAAGCAGACTCCCCACTGAGCGAGGAGACCTATTTGGAGCTTAATCCCAGGACCCTGGGATCATGACCTGGGCCAAAGGCAAATGCTTAACCGACTGAGCCACTCAGGAGCCCACAAAATAGATTTCTGGAGGTGAAAAGAGAAGGGAATAAGGATGAC